CATTAGACTCTTAAAGGTTCTTGCATGTGTTATGCACTGTCTCCAAGTCTCACATGCAGACCTATAGAAAGAATCTAGCTTACAGCAGCATCACACACTAACCTCTTCCATTTCAGAAAGACATGTAAATCTCTAACATCTATTTTTTTCAAAGTGCAGAATACAGTGGCAGAGGAAAACACAGCAATATTTATCCCAAAAGTCAGGGAGAACAGGAAGATAAATTGCTTTTTTCTCTTTAACCAAGCCTTCAGCTTTTGATGTACTTTCTATTTAAAGAGTGTTGAGCTTAGCAAAGCTGTAATGTACAATGTCAAAAAGCTCAGCCACAGGTTAGTACTGTTTCTTAGTAGTGATAGTTCAAGAATGATTTCTTAAATGTACAGCAAGAGCACTGCCATTGTCTTGACCTTTTTCTATGTCTGCTGAACAACTATATCTTATATACAGGATTCTTACAGCCTCCTGAACTATGTCTAGTCCTTATATTTACAGGGAGATGGAGAGGAGATCCCACAATAGGAACACAGAGAAAAGGAATTTGCATGTATATTACTCTAAAACTGTTTCAGCTTGACCTTTCATGAAGAATGGTTTAAAGGCTGAATTCCTTGACTGAGAATGCAAAGATTCATTGTCTTTATTGAGTATTGCTGATAGGGCCCTAGTAAACCATGGCTGCTTCTTGGAGGTACATAGGTAGTAAAGGGCAGGAGAGAGCAGGTTTTACATTAAAAAGACAAATCCATTAGTATCCACACTAAGATGTCCAGCTTCCCAAGGAGAGACATCAATAAATGAAGCAGACTTTCATAAGAATATGTTGGGTGCAACAGAGTACTATACTTTTCATTATGGAATGACTAACTTAAAACAGAAATATAACCACCTACTTAGTCTCATCAAAGTCCTCCCACACCACACCAAGCACATGAGTTTCACTGGCTCCTTCTTTTAAAGGGAAAATAAATGAAAATATTGCAGAACTCCTCTGGGCATTAGTTCTCCCATTCTTATTAACATTTTTAACATCTACAAATTATTAACATTTAAATAGGAAGCGATTTACATGTTGAAGACCACAAAATTACTGATTCCATCTCTTGCTTAAACTCTTGTGGTTTCCTTGTTTGAATTTCTTTATCAAATAATTCATAAACTACATAAGTTGCATTGGGAGACTATTATCACAAAACCTCATCTGTGACCAGCTTCATGTGGACGTTGAGTAAGTAGGTTTATATCACCAGGAAATGTAAAACCATAAACAGACTATAAATATTCTCTCATGAACTGAATAAAGAAATACAGCTAATGTTTACAAGATTAATCAGAAGTAAAGTAGTGTTTAACTTTTTTTGCATATTAAAAGTGATAAATTCAAGACACTTAAACATACTATTAAAAATATCTTGAGATTGTTTCTCACTGAACCAGCATCTTCAAGTAATAAGAAATGGTTTCTAGGTTATTTTTTATTCCATCATGCTAATCATCTAACTGTTATCATATGTTCCATTAAAAAACAACTTTCTTCTGTTTTACAGACTACAAGGAGTATATATATCCCACAATCTAATTCTGTACACAAATTGTGGTTACTAAACAACATAAGGGAAATGGTTTTAATACATGTTAAAGGAATTGTATGCCAAACACCTGGACAGATGTAAAGGTCAAAACCTGTGACAACCTATCCAGTGTCAATGAAAATCATAAGTCAACAGCTGTCCAGCAAACACAACTGTCTTTCCACCCTTCTTTGCCAGCCAAACTGAAACATTTTCAAGTAATTAAATACAAATGCTTCAAGTTCTGAATACATTAAATGCAAAGTAAGTTAATTTATCATATTTTATACACATGTTAAAATGCAAAGCCCTATAAAATATGTAACACTCACAAAGCTATAGTTTCATGTATGCCCAAACATATGTTTGTCTATATGTATAGACAAACATACAAACTTTAGGTAGCAGAAAGTGCTTCACAGCATTAAACCCAAGAGTACAGTACAACTAGGATACTGTTATTAAATCTGTGTTTTTAGTACTACTCCTTTAAAACAAAAACCCCACAGGCTTGTGAATTAAAAAGTCAGGGGAAAGTCCTTCTATGCATCTGAGACAGAAGAGACAGATCAAAGGAAAATCAGAACAGCCCAAAATCTCTGGAAGAGTAGTCTGTGTTTTCAGTCCTGATCTGTTTCATCAGGAATTCGTGCCTGGACTAGTAACAGGAAGCACATCTACCTTCATTAGCAGGTGTCGCACGCATGATACGTGTTCAGTTTTTCATAAAATAACCTTTAAAAATGTATATTCATTATATATCTTATATATATAATTCAGAATTCCTTACATTTGGTGCAGTAACTAACACAAAGATTTGAAATTTAGATTTAATGCCTGATTTGAGATGTATAACAGCTTTATATTACATATTTTCAATATCATTATTACATATTATTAGAGCTAGCACATTTTTCTAGTATTGGTAAGGAAGTTATCATTATTCTTTTTTATTCTTATTAGCATATATTTGTCATAATAGACAAAACCCAGTATCATGAAATACAGCATCCAACCACTTTCCAAAATCCTTGGCAAGTGATTCTATGACACCCTGCTACGTTAACTGACATTCTCCATACGAGCCTTCTGGGTAATATAATGTGGAAGAGAGCTCACTCAACACCTCAGGACCTACAGCTGCCTTCTCACTGCACACAACTGGCAAGGGACTGTGTTGGCTATGGGGAAAAGGAGCAAAACACTGAAATTACTTCCACACTCTGAGGCTAGGTAGAAATCGACAAAAGCTGTTCACGACTTGGAGCAGTGTTGGAACTGCTCTTTATTGTACCCAAGTCCAGCAAAGTCACCAGGTGGGAACTGCTTCAATGCCCAAGAGCTTTCCCCGCTCCCGCTCCCCCTCCCCCTCCCCCTTGTATTCTTACTGGTGGGGAATTGGCTGGGCTGCTCACACCGGGTGAAAAACCAAAACTGCAGGTACAAGATGTTGGGCTGTTTTGCAACACTGTTTGGCACAAGGAGTCCGGCTCGGGTGGGGAATCCTGCCGGCTGCCGCGGGCCTGGGCGAGGGGCGCGGGGCTGGGGCAAGCGGCCGAGTTCCCGTGTCCCCCCTATTCCCTGGTCCCTTTTGAAATCACTCCCCAGCAGCAACGCGTCAAGAAAGCACCCGGAAAAGCCGGGAAAAACATCGTACCAAAGCGGCTCGTCCCAGGAAGCTACCCAGATCCTAACAGCATCTGCAATAATGCCTCTTTTTGAGGCTCTTGTGAGGGGAAAGGGGAGAGGCGGGAGGGATGAAAGTGCTGATGCTTAGGAGCAGTGCCACTTCTCAGCTATGCCGCGCTGCTCAAGGTCGCTCAGCCTGTACACACCGCAAACATTAGTCTTAATTGCAGCGCAGAAGACTACCAGATGAACGGAAGCTCCTTCCCCTACCCCCGCTCGCAGCGGGACGTGCCTCCTGGCTTGTAAGGACAATTCACGCCACGTGCTGTCCCCTTTTAGCACAAGCATGTTTTCTTTAAAGACCTTTAAAAATTATCCGTTAAATAAAACTTTTCCCCTCCCCCTAATTGGAAGACTCGGCTCCCGTCTTTCCCATACCAACCGTCTCCTGTAAACCCTGGAAAGGCTGGGGAAGGCGGGAGAGGACTCCCCGGCTCAGGCAGGCAGGTTTGCTGCGTGGCCGTGCTTGAAGCGCTCTGAAACCAGCCGTTCTCAGGCAAGAGATTGTTTTATTACCTTCTTCGTCCTGCGCTTCCGTCAGGTCAAATACTCAAGCAGGGCTATACTTCTGGTGTGCCTTTCCTTAGGGAATTTACAGCGGTTGCGAGCGAGACTGGGGGGTGAATCTGTTTATTCACTGGTGTCTCACAGGCAAGTATGCTGAAGTACTTTCAGATCTGGCTTGGCAGAGCAGGAAAGAAGCCCACGGCAGCACTTCAAGGCTCACCGGAATTTGCCTCCCCAGCTGAGAGCGCTCCTCAGCCACGGAGAAGCCCGCTCCGCGGCTGGGTGGGTGGCCAGGGGATGGCTGGGCGTGCGGCGGGGAGGAAGACTACCCATCCCCTTGCTCTCCCATTGCTTCCTTGCCCGTGACGAGGTGCGTGTGTCCCCCCCGCCCAACCGGCTCGTGCTCGGCCGTCGCTCCCCTCCCGCCCGGCGGCCCCGCTGCTCCCAAGCTCCCTCCCTCTCCCCCGCTTCACCCCGTATAGATGGATAGAGATATTTATGTTATTAGTAGCATTATTAGAGCCAAATTCCGCTCAGAGCTGGTGGGGGGTTTAACAGCAGGTGTGGGCAGGCTCTCCATCTCTGCAAAGGAGCATGCTCAGCGCTCTCAGGCATGCTCCTTCAGCTGGGAGGGAGCCAGAGCTGGGCCAGGGGGAGCGAAGGGGGAATCCTCACACTCACACCATCCTAATGCAAAGTTTTATTGTTCAAGCAGCCCTGGGTCCCCCTTCCAAAAGGAGGGGACCCTGGCGCCGCGCCGAGGGCTAGCGGGGAAGGGTGTTCCCCCTCTCTCCCGGCGGGGAGAGCAGGAGAAGGACGAAGAAGAGGAGATGCCCAGGCGAGAAAGGCTTCAGAGCCAACTTCTGCCGGGAAACCCGCAGGTCTGCTGCCGCCTCCTCCCGGGGCGAGACCACTGCTGCGCCTGACACTGCTCCCAGCTTTGATGCAACGCTAAGACCACACGGGCAGCACTATCATCATCATCACCACCATCACGACCATTATCATCGTTATTATTAATATTATGCCAATGCTCGCAGCCCAGGAGTGGGAAGCAGCACTCGACTCTGGCAGATACCCTCCGGCGCTCCCTTCCCCAACCCCTGCCCGGGTCCGCAGGAGCCCCGCGCACCGCTCCGCGCCTCCCCGCGCAGCCCCCGCCCAAGCAGCGGCGGAGACGAAAGGAGGGAGTCCAACCCAAATAGCAACGACGGCACCCGGCGGGTAGCCTACCTTGAGCTCCTCCGTGTCCAGGTTTGCTGATCTGTCCATAGAGCGAAACTGAGCGGAGGGGAAACTAGTGAAGTTGTGCCCCCAAAAAAATAAATAAATAAAAGTAAAGGAAAAAGGAGGGGAAAAAAAACCCAAACCCCAAACCACAAACCCCACCACACAACACCAGACGGAGGCGGCAATCTAGTCTCTCAGTTTCCAGCCTAAACTCAGCCTTGTCCTCAAAACCCTGGCAACTGCTCTCAGTCTCATTCTCCGCGATCACGCCTCCACCGGTTTAAATAAATAAATAAATAAATAAATTCCACTTTTTTTTTTTTTTTTTTTTTTTAAAAAAAAAAGAACTCCCTTAAGGACTCAAGCGCCAGGTGGTCTCTGGTGAAAGAGATTCGCGTCCTCAGGCAACGGGAGGTGGAGACAGGAAAAAAAGAATCTGCTCAGTTTAAAGATTATTTTTTCTTCTGCAATAAGCTCAGAAACCGGCGAATCGCTGCATCCCGAGGAAAAATCCTGTTTCTCCGGACAGCATCATGCAGCAGATTTCGAGCAAATGTGTTCAAACTGAAGAGAATAGCCTGTGATAAAAGCCTTTCTCCGTCATGCCTACTCTGGTAGCTAATTTAGCACCCTGTGAGTGCAAGACCGTTAGCGATGAACAATTTTGCTAGCAAGATAAAATCCCCAACTCCTGCACAGACTCAGAAATTCTTTGTAGCTAAAGGTATTTCCTCAGTAATAACACTAGGGGAAAAAAAAATAGGAAAGTCTGTAGGGGATGGTCTTCTTTGAAGGTTGTGCTAAGAGTTGGGAGGAAAACAGGAGGTGGATCTCTTAGCAGAAGAGAGAAGGAAGAGAAGCAGAAATTCCCCCCTTCGCTCCTGTTTTACTGTCCTTCGCCGCCAGGTGACCGACTTCCCTCCTCACGGCCCGCTCGAAGGGGATTTCTCCAGCTCTCCAAAAGCATTTCCCTTTCCGAGCAGCCCAGCCCTCAGAGCTTAACGTCGGCGGCCGGCAGCACCTCCCCGGGGGCGGGCACGGACACGGACCCACCCGCGCCCTCCCCGCGCTCGCCAAATGGCTCCTCTCGCTAGCCACACGTGTCCTGAATAACAGCCACGCTCACCGGCATAAAAACCACCACTGTCTCCCACCACTCCCTCTAAAAAACATGTATATGGTGTATATATATGTGTGTGTGTATATATATATATAATATGTGTGTGTGCAGGTGTGCCTAAATTGACAAGATGATGTGAAACCTCTCCATCTCTGGCTGGAAGTGCACGGCTGTTATGCAGCTGTTGAGCTTATCATTAATGTGCTGCAGCTTTGGTGGAGCAACGTTTCTGATGGCACATGGATTAAGTTTTGAGTCTCTCTCGTGGTGTTACTTTACTAATCTCCTTTTTCGAAGGATTCACTGTCTTGCAGCTCTCGTACCACTCCAGAGAGGATCAAAATTAGATTTAAAAATTCAAATTCCTCCCCACTGAGATCCTGATTTTATCACAGTCCTTTATCATAAATCTGTCAGTTGCAGTTTTGGAGAACAAGGATGTGATTTTTGTTCCCCTGCTATCAGTCTTTTGGGGGCCTTATTTATTTAACTCCATGAATGACAAATTCAGAACTATCACTTTCTGGTTCTATCACCTCCTTTCTACACTGCTTTAAATAGAATTGGTATTCCTGATAATTTGACATATGTAGGCAGATCTAATATCCTAAAGTGGATACTCTCTTTCCAGTTCAATATAAATTTGCTTGCAGCTTCCAAAACTTCAAGGTTAACATAAACTTGAGGGCTGGGTGATGCCCAGTGATAGCCATTTCTGAGGACTGAATATAGCCCTCATCTAGAAAGCTAAAGATGTGATGCAGGCACAGGCAAAAGACAGTTCTCCTCTTACCACAAATTGTATATGAATTTCAGGTTCTTTGTGTATGTACTGTAAGTATCATTATTATCATTAACCTACAACTGCAATTTATAAAGATTAAAGACTTGGCCTGATGTTCCCACGTGAGCCAACACACTTGTGACCAAATAAAAGATTGGCAAAGTGGACACTAAATCTAGTTGCTGTAAGACCTATAGAAATTTGGGGGGGGGGGGGGTGCCCTAACAAAAAGCCCTCCACCCTATCCCATTCTTCCCCCAAATAACAAATCTGGAGAGACTTCTAAGAGACCAATCTGAAGGAAAACATCTCAGAATGCACTTCTAGGGTTCCCCCAAATGTGCCAATATGCAGTACCAGGAAGAGGAAGGGATTGCCTTGTGACACCAACCAGGGGACATAGTCTGGGAGTACCTTGGTGCCTTGGCTGGTGCCAATCGATAACCAGAAGGCTCCTGATCTACTTCATACACTCACAACTGTTTACATGGTGATTAGTAGACCAACAAGTAACTGCACAGAATGCAACTTTATAAAAACAGAGGTACCTGCAGCACTGTGACTTTGCTGTCCTGTTGCTGCCACACCACAAGACTTTCTTGGACGGGTCACTCCTTAGTTTGTTTTCATATTTGTACCAAGTGTGCTGGGATGAGATATATCTGAGTATCCTCTACTGAATTTTGCTGATAGTGGTCAAGAGTTCAGGGAAGAGAAAAGGAAAATTGACAGTACAATCACATAAGCCTAATTTCCTTAGAAAACAATACAAAAAATGAATTGATTTTGACAGTCACTTTAATAACACTTTAAAATATGTTTCACTTTCCATAGGCAATACAACCTAACAAGCAGCTTTTTGTTGCTAAGACAGGCACTCCAAAGTTAATTAATACCAGACTTCTAGTTGCTTCAAATATCTTTTTTATCTTGTGTATAAACTGCAAGACCTCTCTTTTCCCATTGCAGAGCCCTAATTCAGAAGGCACCCCTGACATTTTCATCCTAATTATTCGTATATGGCCCTATGTCTTAGTCATTGCACACAATGTGGAATTATTATTTTCCTTGAAGGGGGCTTTCTGTTTCATTTAACACAGTTAACAACTGTATTCTGCATAAGTGTCAACACAAAATTTTACTATACATGCAAATATTATCATTAACACTAATAGAGGGGAAAACTGAAACCAAGCCAAGAGGCTAGATTCAAAGAGAAACCAGTAAATCTTGAAGCAGATCAGAGCCTGAGCTCTGAAAACGAGGCCTGAGCCTGGTGCTTGCATAAATGAGTGTGTGGAAATGAAGAATACAAAACAAGCAGCAGACTGCAAACTCACCAAGCGCTGACTTTGACCTTAGGCCTTTTGTGCAGCAGGTCAACAGGTGAAAGACCAGAGAAAGAATCGTGTTATTTTGTATACATCCAACTGCTTTAGCTACTGTATCACTTATATTCATGTATTCATCTTCTTCATTCAACTGCTAAGCCTTCCAGCTTTGCTTTATTTATTTCAACTAACAAACCACTGTGCAAATGTCATTCACTGCCTAGTCCTACATCTTTCCTGTACCCCAGCCTTCCTATGCCAGGCATTTCTGGTAAGCATAATTGAGGATTATACGTAGGTTATAATTGAAGGTTGTATTGTCAGGATTAAATCAAAGACTCTGTGAGGAGAATCCTGGAAAAACAAGCATCCTTAAAAGCTAAGTGTTTAATTTTGAAGTACTTGACGAGGTTAAAGTCAAGCTTAGGTTATTTTTTGGTATTTAGTCTTCTGGGTTATTTTTCTGGTTTCTTGCTTGCCTTTCTCCCTCTTCCCCCTTTTATTGAGGCTAAAAAGACTTGCTTTCCACAGATTCTTGCTGTACATTTTTGTAACAGAGTTGACCCCAAAGTGTGAGAGCGGGATACAGAGCAGATACTGGACTTTGCTACAGTCACACAGGTTAGAGCAGGATTTTACCCAGTACAGAAAATTTGCCTCTGGGACTTGAAAAAATTAAAATCTGCAGTCATTTAAGACTGCATGCAGACAACAGGGGGGCATATTTTTCTAAATAAGGTCTGCAAAAGCATCTTTGTAATCATAAGGTATTAGCAAACTAATGTAGGGACTGCAGCCAACTCCCCCTGTGATACTTCAAAATGGTGAACAAGTGCAGTTCAAACCTATGCTGGGAGCAGTGAGAGTGTGCAACTTTTCAGCAACAAATCATGCTTTTAAACAGGCACAGTAGTTCCAGTAGACAGCTTTACTTTTCCAGAGATCCCAAGATGGGCATATGTCACATACAATATGGCACAGAGTACTTTGTCCTCTAGTCTGCACATTTATCTTACCTTTGACAGAGACTTTTTCTCAGATTGAGGGGTTTCCAAGATAGGGTTGCCTAGAAGACCTTCTTGGGTGGGTTTGTCTTCTCCAAGTGCAGACAATTTACTGGGCTCCTTTAAGCTCTTGGTATAGCCCATAAAGGGAGGTAAACACTTATAAAGGCTGACTTATTTCATAGAGGTCTGCATCGTCTCTGGAAGTAACTCTTTCCTTCTGACTGCACAGGGAATTCCTGAAGTTCAGTGGCTGAATCTGAGACCACATGCTCAGTAACTTAATACAGATATGATTTAACTTAAGCCAGAGTTACACATATGTATCTGGAAAAAGATGAAAATAAGGAAAATGATGGATTCATTCATAGTGAAGCCACAGATGTTAGGCTTTGTCATTTCACATCCTTTTAAAATAGAGAGGACAATTTTCCTAACGTACTGTTAGTAAGAAGGAAGAATAATTCAAAAGCCAATACAGCACTTTTGATATATTTCATAGATATTTTCCATTCTAAGAAAAACTCCAAACCCACAAATCCAAAATTTAAGGCTAAGGATACAAACTTCAGCATCAACTATGAGAACATATGAGTACTACTGTAGCTCTTAAGCAGAATTACTACGTTTTCCCAAGTTGTATGGGAAGCCTGTATATCTGAAAATGTTTTTATACTGTTCCACAATGTGTAATTTATTTATTTTTTTATTATTATCGAATGTTAGGCTAACATAGGTATATGTATGTTACATTATAATTATCTCTTGGTAAGAGTAGAGTAATATAAAATTGGAGATTTTGGGGCTGAAGTCAGTAAAATACCAAACTGTATAGTAATCCAAA